GACAAGGTTCCTCACTCTGAGGACAAGGTTCCTCTCTCTGAGGGCAAGGTTCCTCTCTCTGAGGGCAAGGTTCCTCACTCTGAGGACAAGGTTCCTCACTCTAGTTACACGGTTTCTCACTCTGAGGACAAGGTTCCTCACTCTGAGGACAAGCTTCCCCAATCTGAGGACAAGGTTCCTCACTCTGAGGACAAGGTTCCTCACTCTGATTACAAGGTTTCTCACTCAGAGGACAAGGTTCGTCACTCCGAGGACAAGGTTCCTCATTCTGAGGACAAGGTTCCTCACTCTGAGGACAAGGTTCCCCAATCTGAGGACAAGGTCCTCACTCTGAGGACAAGGTTCCTCACTCTGATTACAAGGTTTCTCACTCAGAGGACAAGGTTCGTCACTCCGAGGACAAGGTTCCTCATTCTGAGGACAAGGTTCCTCACTCTGAAGGCAGGTTCCTCACTCTGAGGACAAGGTTTCTCTTTCTGAAAACAAGGTTCTCACTCTGAGGACAAGGTTCCTCACTCTAGTGACAAGGTTTCTCACTCTGAGGACAAGGTTCCTCACTCTGAGGAGATGGTTCCCCACTCTGAGGACAAGGTTCCTCGCTCGGAGGACAAGGTTCCTCACTCCGATTACAAGGTTTCTCACTCTGAGGACAAGGTTCGTCACTCCGAGGACAAGGTTCTTCACTCTGAGGACAAGGTTCCTCACACTGACGAAAAGGTTCCTCACTCTGAGAACAAGTTTCGTTACTCTGAGGACAAGGTTCCTCAGTCTGAGGACAAGGTTCCTCTCTCTGAGGGCAAGGTTCCTCTCTCTGAGGGCAAGGTTCCTCACTCTGAGGACAAGGTTCCTCACTCTAGTTACACGGTTTTTCACTCTGAGGACAAGGTTCCTCACTCTGAGGACAAGGTTCCCCAATCTGAGGACAAGGTTCCTCACTCTGAGGCAGGGGCGGATCCAGACCGATGCGAACGTTGCGAATGCATCAGTCAAAATTGAATCTTGGTAATAAATTTATATTTATAGATTTACAGAACTGATACATTTTACATTTATCGATAAAAACAGAAAGAAACTACAAAATACATATTTTCAAACCCCAAATCATTCATTTGAATTCTATCCAGGCAAATATCCAGCTAATCCGCTCGTGAGTATAATATTATACCAAAATGCGATGTAAAGAGCTTTTAACATAGCAAAATAATCAAAATATTTGTAGTGCCATCGAAAATTCGTAGTTCTGTTATTTTGCGCTAATTAACCGTACAAATAATACGCGACAAAATTTAGCCTTTTGCTCTTAAGTCACAGTAGAAGCAAATGCATCAGCTACGTCACGTTAGATTCGATTGGCATCCATTTTGCATCACCTACGTCGCGTTAGATTCGATTGGCATCCATTTTGCATCAGTGAATGCATCGGTCCCGAGTCCTTTTCCGCGTGAAATCTAACGTGACATCATCAAAACCATTGTTTTAGAGCCCTACGTCACGTTACATTTGCCCGCTGAGCGATGCATCGCATGCATGTTGCAGGCTCTTGCATCGGTGCACTGATGCATAATACATTTAATTCCATCTACTGTGACGTATACAAGACAGCCCACGCTTTCTCGAAGTCATGGCGGCAAACAAAGATATGCAAATGAAGAAGTACGATCTATTGTGTTTGCTTCGAGAAGATAAAGCCTTCGAAATCGAAGGGGTAAGAAAGCACTGTGAAATGAAACTTGCTGATTCGATTTCGAAATCTAAAGCTTGGATTTAGATGGCAAGGTTCCTCTCTCTGAGGGCAAGGTTCCTCACTCTGAGGACAAGGTTCCTCACTCTAGTTACACGGTTTCTCACTCTGAGGACAAGGTTCCTCACTCTGAGGACAAGCTTCCCCAATCTGAGGACAAGGTTCCTCACTCTGAGGACAAGGTTCCTCACTCTGATTACAAGGTTTCTCACTCAGAGGACAAGGTTCGTCACTCCGAGGACAAGGTTCCTCATTCTGAGGACAAGGTTCCTCACTCTGAGGACAAGGTTCCCCAAACTGAGGACAAGGTTCCTCACTCTGAGGACAAGGTTCCTCACTCTGATTACAAGGTTTCTCACTCAGAGGACAAGGTTCGTCACTCCGAGGACAAGGTTCCTCATTCTGAGGACAAGGTTCCTCACTCTGAGGACAAGGTTCCTCACTCTGACGACAAGGTTCCTCACTCTGAGGACAAGGTTCCTCACTCTGAAGGCAGGTTCCTCACTCTGAGGACAAGGTTTCTCTTTCTGAGGACAATGTTCTCACTCTGAGGACAAGGTTCCTCACTCTAGTGACAAGGTTTCTCACTCTGAGGACAAGGTTCCTCACTCTGAGGAGATGGTTCCCCACTCTGAGGACAAGGTTCCTCGCTCGGAGGACAAGGTTCCTCACTTCGATTACAAGGTTTCTCACTCTGAGGACAAGGTTCGTCACTCCGAGGACAAGGTTCTTCACTCTGAGGACAAGGTTCCTCACACTGACGAAAAGGTTCCTCACTCTGAGAACAAGTTTCGTTACTCTGAGGACAAGGTTCCTCAGTCTGAGGACAAGGTTCCTCTCTCTGAGGGCAAGGTTCCTCTCTCTGAGGGCAAGGTTCCTCACTCTGAGGACAAGGTTCCTCACTCTAGTTACACGGTTTTTCACTCTGAGGACAAGGTTCCTCACTCTGAGGACAAGGTTCCCCAATCTGAGGACAAGGTTCCTCACTCTGAGGCAGGGGCGGATCCAGACCGATGCGAACGTTGCGAATGCATCAGTCAAAATTGAATCTTGGTAATAAATTTATATTTATAGATTTACAGAACTGATACATTTTACATTTATCGATAAAAACAGAAAGAAACTACAAAATACATATTTTCAAACCCCAAATCATTCATTTGAATTCTATCCAGGCAAATATCCAGCTAATCCGCTCGTGAGTATAATATTATACCAAAATGCGATGTAAAGAGCTTTTAACATAGCAAAATAATCAAAATATTTGTAGTGCCATCGAAAATTCGTAGTTCTGTTATTTTGCGCTAATTAACCGTACAAATAATACGCGACAAAATTTAGCCTTTTGCTCTTAAGTCACAGTAGAAGCAAATGCATCAGCTACGTCACGTTAGATTCGATTGGCATCCATTTTGCATCACCTACGTCGCGTTAGATTCGATTGGCATCCATTTTGCATCAGTGAATGCATCGGTCCCGAGTCCTTTTCCGCGTGAAATCTAACGTGACATCATCAAAACCATTGTTTTAGAGCCCTACGTCACGTTACATTTGCCCGCTGAGCGATGCATCGCATGCATGTTGCAGGCTCTTGCATCGGTGCACTGATGCATAATACATTTAATTCCATCTACTGTGACGTATACAAGACAGCCCACGCTTTCTCGAAGTCATGGCGGCAAACAAAGATATGCAAATGAAGAAGTACGATCTATTGTGTTTGCTTCGAGAAGATAAAGCCTTCGAAATCGAAGGGGTAAGAAAGCACTGTGAAATGAAACTTGCTGATTCGATTTCGAAATCTAAAGCTTGGAATCCATTCTCGAGAGGCAAGAATGGAAGGGATTTATCGACGGAATTGTTGATTCCCAAACATATTACTGAGAAGTGGCAGTCTGGAGAACTGAGGGCTCTAAAGTAAGCAAAATTCGTCTATATTTTAATAATTTTATTACAATTCGGTCAATTTAACGAGTATGTGAATGTTATAATATAAATTGGAAAATATTCTGCACAACATAGTTAAAACTTATTGTGCCTCCCCCCTCATAAAAGTAGAAACTTTTCTGATCCCCCCCAGTGTGGATTGAAAAATTTACAGCAATGAAACAGGTGTGTGTTGCAGCCTTGCAGGTAAAGTTAGATATTAGGATAATCTGTTTATCATTATGCTTTACCCTGGTGAATATGATTCAACCATATATGACTAAAAGACCTTAAAAAATATATATTATGTGTTACTACTTTTGTCCTACCCTAACCCATGGCCCGTCTTCATACACCGAAATGATTTGAACACAGGGCTTTCTTTAAGAACTTGTCTGACAAAAAGCTTGGCGTGTTATTGTATGTGCTAGTAGGGGGTCTGGGGGTATTCTCCCCCAGAAAATGTTTGGTATTTTTCCACTCCTAGGACTGAAATGTTACATTTTCTGAAATAGATTTTTAGATATACAGTGTTACATTGTATTTTGATAGACCGAATCCTAACAGTTAAGTGTACTTGCATGGGTATGTTTATGTAAATACCACAACTGGGTCACTCAGGGGGTAGGAAGCTTGTTAAACTTAGTGGGCCAGACTCCCATGAGGCGCAACCATGATGCCGAGCAGGAAGGGAGTCTCTTGATCGTTGGAAATGGCATAATTTTTCAGAGTCTTCTAATTGTGATTATAGAAATCAGAACTCCAGACTATCATATTGTGCTATGACGACCAACATAGTAGACATGGTATTTAACTTCAAAAATTTTTTTGACCCCCCCCCCTTTCTCTGTGTTAAACCTTTTTTGACCCCACCCTATTTACAAGGGTAAAACTTCGTTTGCCCCTCCCCCCCATTTACCAACACCTCCCCATAAATTATGACCACACCCTTAGGAATATGTTTCATGATATAATATAAATTTCCTTGGAACTCTTTGCCACACCATGAGGCTTATCATTAATTGGTCACGTGTGTGAAATTATTCCATAATATTTAGATATTATAGAAACCATCACAGGCCAGTATAGCCTGCAAATACAGCTGCATGGCCTGATTCACTCCTTCGTCGTGATCAATCAGGCCGGCCGTATTCGCAGGCTAAATCCAGTACGGAATGCAGCATTTCTGTGTGAACAGCAGAACAAAATGTTCAGTTGTGCTCCTGCAATACCTGCAGTGCAAAATCTTCATGGGCTCATGATCTATGTTGTGCAATGGGTGAAGTTGGTATTCATCACCAGTTTGCGATCTTGTTATTTATACTAAAGCAAGAATTTACCAATTGTTTAGTTGTTTTTATCATTTTATGTCATTGTAGATGGTATAAATATCTAGATTAAGCAAATGCTTTTTCCATCTGATAGCAAAACTGCCACAAAGACAATAAAATATAGAATATTTTTATATAGAATATTTTTATCTATGGAAATTGCCTCTACAGAGCATGTTCAAAATTACTTTGTGGCAAGGAAGATCTGTGTGATTTGCTGAGAGACTTGACAAGCATTGAGCTCTTTAGTAACCAAGAGTTTTATGCTTTCCATCCATATATCACAGCGAAATCACATGTATTCCAGTCAGACAATACTGCGTTTTCTGCCACAGCTTCTGATTCTGCATTGGGTGATGGGTATGACAGGAAAGATCCAAGCAGCAGGGTGACGGTTGTAAAAAGAGAAGCCATCAGAAATGCTACTGGTGGAACCTATGCCTCTCTTATGTGTGTATTTGGCTTGTCTTCGGTTACTGGAATGGGTGTTACTTCAGTTTACCCAGAAAAGGTTGGACAGGAGACCAAATATTCACGATTTCAAAATGGAACTGTTTGGCCACGGCTATTCCATAACAACGTTACGAGTAAACTTGTTCAGGACGCTAAACTAATACTTATGTGGACAACTCTTGGTATTCATATTCTTCCTGGGATGAGCAAGGGGTTTCAGCCAAATCATTTTGTACCACTTGTGGAACTTATGGCAAAGGATGTGGAGAAGAAGAAACCTCAACAACAGAAAATTACTGACCTGTTCAGATCTAAAAGCAAGCAGATGGAAGAAGGTAAGTACAGTGTAGACATTGTCACAATGCCTTAAGGCTCTTTTCACTAGAGTAGTGTTTGTAAGTATGTACCTAACAGTTAACCCCTTAAGCTGCATTACACCCAGCTATACTATTTCACTCTGAAGCTGCATGTGTAATGCCAGACAATGTTACTCTTTAAGTAAGAGTCAAAAGGTTAATAATATTATTAACACAACGCCTGACCTATAAACTTACAGTACCATGTCAGTCAAATGGGTTAATAATATCATTCAATCTAACTAATTTCCAAGTTTGTTATGTCTTTAGAATTCAGATCAGTGGTTTGAATCACAGCAAACTAGGCAAACTTTGTTGACTTTTCATTTTAATCTTTTTATACATGTGGCGCTCTAAACTGAAATGGCAATAATCCAATAAAATTTAAGTTTGTCTTGTTTGAAACAACTCTCATAATGGTATATGAAGAGGCTTAACAACATTCCATACAATTATCTTACAACATATTGAAAATATAATAGGTTTTGTTTGTGGAAACACCACGTAAATTTATTACTGCAAAGCTTTCGATCCGTAAGCTTTGCAGTAATAAATTTATGTGGTGTTTCCACAAACAAAACCTATTATATTTTATCACCATGCAAACATACAAAGAACTTAATATTGAAAATACTTCTCTTATTGTGATATCACATAGTTATGTTCACAGGTATATCCCTGTTGTGGGCATCATCATAACCCCAGACTGGGGTTATGATGTTGTCCACAAGTCCCGGGTATATACATGAAATATAAAAATAATATGGTCACTAAACAGTGGACTACACCCTGTTCGCTTGTCAAACTATCTCTAAAACCAGTCAAAGTGGAGAAGTTGTAAAAAGTTGTTTTATTGGGACAAACTCTCTGATTCTGATACTCTGCATGTGTCCTTGCAGTATCATACAAGAATTACACCCTGGCAATGTAATCATTTACAGTGGCCTTAATGGCTTAATTAATATATTGTTCTAAATTAAAGTTAATGTACAGGTATAAATCCGTACTAGGAAATTTATTTTCGATTTCATGTACAGCTTACTGTACATGTAAATGAACTTGACAGTTGTATAGATTTATCCATTTGCTTTATGCACATCTATTATTATATAAACAATTTAATTATGTATCACTGACTTTGTGAACCGTGTTATGTTTGAATTGGTCCTTTGGATAAGGTAATAATGGTATTTGAGTCTTTGACCACATGTAGTAAGTTGGTCACATATACGATATATATGTGCTGCAAATTTTCTTCTGCAGAGCCTCCAGCACCTGCAGGTCAGAATGTTAATGTAGAGGAGAATATTCCAACAGCAGCAAAAGAGCCTTCCCTTCAACAAACGATTGCTGATGATGGCAAGATCATTAAAATGGAGTGCGATCCTTCAAGGACCACACTTAAACGTGAGTTTAAAGATTAATTTAGTGTGATAGAGTGATAGACTTGTCTTGGAAAAAAGCATTGTTGACCAGCAGCAACGAAACGAGAAACGATGTAACAAGTAACTTTTGAATGGATTCTATTCTGATCTACAAGTCGTTATATTCCTAATACATTGTTGTGTTATTTAACTTTTAAAAAAGATTGCCACTTACGTACAGTACCTGTATTGTATGTGTTGTTGCGCCGAGAAAAACCTCACTGTCAAAATGGTTACATTTGATCTGCGTAAAGAAAGGAGTGCCATAGTATATGTGTTGTATGATGTTGCTTGCGTTTCCTTTTTAGAACAATGCTAAATTTCCGCCTGGATTTTATTATGTAGGACCTTCAGGAGAAATTGGTAAAGGACTTTCAAAACGATCAAAAGCCGACCTTTCCGATGTTGATTCCTTGGACATTGGACGATTCGTGTCCGTGGCAGCAATTGATGATGACACTAAATTTAATTTAATCAACAATCACTGGAAGCCACCCCCAGATTTCAACTTTCTTTCTGAAACATCACGCCGAAAATTTTGTGCAAGTTGGTTACATCGCTGGTCTTGGCTATGTTATTCCAAGTTGTATAACGGAGCTTTCTGTCTTTCTTGTGTTTTGTTTGGCCATCAAACTGGACATAACGGCTCAAAATTGTCCAAGTTATTCAAGGAACCCTTAACCAACTGGCAAAGTGCGGCAACAAGACTCGAACAGCATCAGAAACAGTCGGTTATTCATCATGATTCCATGTTGCGTTTGGTGCAGTTTAGAAGCGTAATGACGGGCGAAACCAAAGGCATAGATGAGCAAGTCGATAACATGAGAAGTGCTCGCGTTCAATACAATAGAGATATCCTCAGTTCTATCACCAAAACTGTAATCTTGGCTGGCAAGCAGAATCTCCCATTAAGAGGACATCGAGACGATTCCCAGCATTACGCATCTCCCAATCCTGGAAACTTTCAAGCCTTTTTAGATTTCCGAGTGGATTCAGGTGACACAAAGCTTAAGAGGCAGTCTCTGTAAGAACCTCATGACCTCTTTGGATCAAGAAATAGATTTCTCTCAAACTTTGTACTTGAGATGGCCTTTATAAGGTTTGTTTCAAAATGCATTTTGTTTTCAGTCTAATTGCATTTTGGCAAAGTTCCAGGGGGGTCAAGTTGAGGGCTAAAATTATGATTTTTGCTGTTTCTCAATAGTGGATTTTTAAACCTCTCTACATCAAACAAAAATAATGATAAAACTAAATCCTTCCACACAATAGTAGCCTTATATGTCTTAAGTAAAAAGGTATCTACACATTTTTCAAATATGTTTTCTAAATATAGAAATGACATCATTCATGACAGACTAAAATAGAGATTTCCAAGTTCCTTAAAAATTGTTGAAATAAAAATCCTAAAATTCAAAAGTTAGACTTGCCATGAATGTAATATTATTTGTGTGGTGAGATTAAAGGTTGGTCTTACATAATGTAAAATTAAATATTGCGGCCTGTAAATTTTGGGGGTACTACAGGCCAACAAATAATCAACATTTTCGACTTTCGGTAGTTTAGATCAAATAAGAACGTTCACCGTTTACTGCAAACTCTGCTTTCAAAGACCGAAATTTTACTTGTTATTTTGACCTAGAACAGTGATAACATTCGTTTGACCTTTGCTGTTGTGTAAAGTCTTTTAGGGAAATGCACTGACACAGGCATTTCCGTTAAGTATGGGCCGTATTGTATAAATAATAAAAATTTTCTAGCTGAATATAAACAAAGACAAGTTATAAATTTGCAACAGGTAAAGATGTCCGTTAGTCAACAAATTATCGAACATCGATTTACTTTGAAGATTATTTTAAAAGTCAAGAGAAAACCTACCCCAATATAATTTATACAAAGATAATATATGCCTCGATCAACGAATCGATTGTCAGTTGACATATTATTTGACATTCGTCAGCTGCCATTATTCTTTAGGGTTTTAAATTAATCACTTTCGACATCTTATGATTATTTTAGACACAGTCTCATATGCATAAAATCTTGCTTCTTTTGTCAACAGGCAATGCTAGTCATTCCTCCATTGTTATAACTCAATTTTGTTATTGCTATATTGCGGAAGCCGCTGACCAGCCAAATAATTCGGCTGTCAAAAACACGTGCAACATGTTGCGAATTGTTTGCTTTCGAAACTGCAGGTCAAACTTGGCAAAAGTTTGTCAATGTTTGGTAAAAGTTATGAAATTGTTCCCAATTCTAAAAATTTCTAATATTTGGTTATATTAATTTGGCCGGTTATATTTTAAATTGACATAATATATTTACCGCCTACTTGCAACCAAATTCCTGCAAATAGAACAAGAGCCCCTTGATGAGCTAAAAGCTCTTGGGCAATTGTTATATCTTTAATATTAAAATGTGTTTATTTAAAATATTTGTCCGGAAATAATGTTCATATAAACAATATTTAATTTCAAAAAAAAAAAAGAAATGGCAATTTTTCCAATGTTAAGCTTTGCTCCGTCAAGAATGAAACAGACTAAATCTAATTTTTCTAAATACATAAACATTTCTATATTTGGAAAATATATAAGAAAAATTTATAGATACTTTGTCAGTTAAGGCATATAAAGCTACTATTTTCGGAAGGATGTAGGTTTATTATGATCTTTGTTTGATGGAGGCAAAATCTTCCAAGGCTACAACGGCTGATCGCATTATTAATCCCCCCCCCCCCCCC